TTTGTCTCGGAGAGCAGCCGTTCCGTAGAACTTTCCAGTGACAAAAGTAGGGCGCTAGAAAATGGGGAATAGCACACTTATAGCAAGACAATTCGCACAGCAAAAGGGCGGCGTAACAAGAAAGACTTCGTGACCCGAACGCCAGCATGGCATACAATCTGGACGCACACGCTCTTTCCACACCATGATCCTTAGGCACTCGGAGCTCCTATATACTGGCCAGTTTATTTTTCTTTCACACTCTGAAGGGGAAGATAGAAACGCTGAGAGAAGCTTGTGGTCTGTAGAGCTCAGAGTAAAGAGACAAAAATATATCTGAGAGGCATCGCCAGAGCGCACTGGACGTTCCTGAGAACACGTGACACAGTTGTGTTCCTTGGAGCTGGGTGACGTATAAGGTTCCCGAAATGAATCTAAAGGACAGGGACAGCGCCTCTGCAGCCAATAACCATGCCTGCAGGTTGCTTGCGCTTCTTGTTAAATGCACGCTATTGGCTTAACGGAGTGTTAGCCAACACATTTGAACGCGGGATTTTTTTTAGTGTTGATAGATGTCTGAAGCTCGCGCGCAAGTAAACAGATGCAGCTTCCAGATATCAAACGTTAATGTCACTAAAGTTATTTAGGTTGGGCAGCTTCAGCAAACGACGAGGACGGGGACCACTCAGATCGAAGCGAGTGGGAAAAATAGAGCGTGATTTTGTCGATGAAAAGGCCGGGTATATGCAGAATTTGTAAACGCCATCCACGTTTTGATACCTAGCTTTTTCGGCAAAGGGTATAGCCTCACCCTAAGTGTTCTCAAAAGTAGAATTATAAGGTTCACTCTGGCAATAAAACATCTGACAGGTTGACACCACTAAACAGACTCCACGGGGAAAATATCTCGTAAAGAAATACGTGCAACACGCATCGCGCTGACACGTTTGTATGCAGAATAACGAAAAAGTTAAGGAGGAAAAAATTGTATAGGTGTCAGTTAGACATCGCATATTCTAATTAAAGTATATAGAACGTCTATCACTAAAGTCTATTCCTATTTCTTCGTAGTGCAATGCATACCCTGCACTAGAGATAAATATATGTAATGAAATAAGTACAAATAATTCCCAATTCAGGACAAAACACGACCACGGAAAGACCTCTTCATTGTTGGGGCTAGCTTTCAACAATTACGTAGAGTAGGTATGTAGCTCACTGATACTATACGCATTTCTTCGCCGCATGCATCGGTCGTTTCTTTTTTTTCATTCATGATATATCATGGGCCGAATTAGAAAAAAAGTTTTCATTGACCAGAGGTATTTGCAGTTAGTTGGGCGGCTACGAAAATGATATGCCTCGTATCATGATTGGCTGGGAATTTCCCTTGTGAGTGCTTCTAACATGAAATATTTTTTTGTAACACCAGCCTTCATGCTCGCTTACACGCAGCAACCTGACCTGTTGTTAATGTATTGGTCTGTGATGTTTAGTGATTTGGACTACTGAAACTACAAATGCCTCCACTAGTTCGCTGGGGGACAAAGAAAAATCTCATTGCGCTAGTAGACAGGAAAAAAAAAGAAACAAGTTTAAATCAACGATTCCTAAAAGATGTTTGTGCTTTCATGTAGCGTTCGCTACTCCTCGGCACAGGAAATAAAGTTAGCGAAGAGCAAACACATGAACGAAACGACCCCAAGATTGCATTTATAGTGTGGTGAAAAATATTATGAAAAGTATTTCGAAAGTACATCATTTTTAAAAAATGTAGGCAAATTAAACAGCCATAAGGTGTTGCCTGGTAATCTGTAGTATATTTCAATATTTTTACCACTGAATCAAATCATCAGAAAGTATCAAAAGATGGCAAAAGTAAATATGTATTTTGTTGAATTTTTTTCTCCTAATTTGCGAATTAGGATGGACTGTCAAAAATGCATGAAATTCACGTCCTCTAATTTCAAGCCACTCAGCATTGAATTCCAAAAAAAAAAGAAAAGGAAAGAATTTGTTGTTTTGTGTGAGTTTCAGTACTTGAAGTTATTTAGTGTGTAACTAATTATTTTACTACTCTGCCACCAGTCAGTATCAGTAATTGCATAAAAAATCAACTATTTGACCTGAATTGCATCCATAATTTTTTGTTGGAATAATTAAGAGCGAAGAAAAAAACTTTTCACGTTGGCCCTTCAACGCGGCACTTCGAATGATCATCATACATAGTAGTGTCTCCAACAAAGCTATCATCTGTAGCAATATGCAGCACAATACAAATAAATAACTAATACTATACACTCAGAAAGGCTGCAGAAATTTGCACAACGAGTTGCAGGCTATTTGAAGAAACACGCTGCCTGCAACGCACTTTTGAAGTTCTCGTAGACAATTGTGTACACCCTAACTGAAGGCGTTATGCAGCCCCCGATTGACGACTGTTTATAAATTACCGTCTCTTCTCCTTCAAATACCCCTGAACTTACCACAATGGCTCTTGTGTCTATATCACCCTGAAGTGCAGACATTGGGTTTCATGCTTAAGTCTCGATGTCAGACAGCTTGGATTGATAAAATTATAGTACACAATGCTTACTCCCTAATCTAGACATTAATTTTCCAACGTTTCTTTTCCTTTAAACGCCAATAATTTTTGGGGTAAGTACATTACGCAAATGGTTGCTTCTACGAGGTTAAGCTCCGCATAATTATGAGATGAATAAACACTTGCCAACAAGTGCCGAATTCAGTCGCAACACATGAAGCACAACGTCACAGAGCAATTGTTGAAATTTTCGACGCCTGAAAACTGCACCATTGTTTGTGCCGCTCTGAAGGTAATTGATACTCCCATTAACGATGCCTCTACATTACACCGTAGTGTTGCATTGATTTTCTCTATTGCATTTCTTTTAGCGGCATGTGAGGGAGGTACGAATCAACTTGCTACCCACTATGGTCTCGTGAGCGATCAGAATCATCATCATCAAAATATTTAAAGTGGTCTCTGGGATTTTTCAGAAACCGCCTCTGAAGGACTGAGATGAATGATTAAAAGCCACTGAGTAGCAAGTTTGCAAACGCGAAAACTCTTTAGTGTGAAATCTAGTCTAAAACACGAATACAAATTTGCGAGACACAAAATTTCGACGGTTCAATGGGACAGGCCGATGTATTTTGAGTGGTTATGGGTTGCCTGATACAACGACTCCAATGACAGAGAAAGAGAAACGAAAAAAAAAAACTATACGAATGGTGAAGCTTGCGTGCGAAAATTCATTGATGTCTAAAGTTAGGCCACATGACGACCTCGTGAAAGGCATCTTTTTTATATATATATACGTGTAGAGAGCACTTACCAGGACGACAGGACGACTACACACAACCTGCAACATCATGAAGGCTGCTTCGGAAGTTCGTGTTTTTCTTGCTTGGATGAAACCTCGAATGTGAAAGAAAGCACGTGCCATCATTTAAAGCGATGGTTTCAATCAACCATCAATTCTAATAATGCCTATTTTTTATTTTATTTTATTTAACTTTTTGGTAGTATGCGGAATACTTCACTGGTAAAAAACGCCATCTTAAAATGAAACATGTTTTTAGGCCTCATAAAAAAGCAACTACAAAGTTGTGGCATGCGGGCACCTTTCTTCATCATTGTTTTTGCTGGATGTTATCAATATTTTACCGTCCCCCTTCCAAACTAGCGCACTAAAATTGATATAAGTGAGACATTTTCACACAAAAGGAAACAGTAAACTGCTGGCATTGATTCGCTAAACAACAGAAGCCGAGTTTACAGAGCATTTCACTCATAATTTCTACTGGTTGGCTATATTTCTTTACAACACGTCCCTGATTATCCCTTGTAGTACGTTTGTTTTCAGTGCGTGTGAATATTGACGCTGCTACTTCGATGCTAGTGCTGCAGCGCGTCTTCTTCTCATTTGTAGTTGTCGTTAGACGAGGCTGGAATTGCGCCGAGCTAAAATTCTCCATGGACGCGTCCTAGTGGGAGGTGAAATATTTGGCCGGTTAGTCTATAATATTTGCCAGAAAATCAAGTGTATCGAAACCCGCTACACACTTTATGAGTTTGGCTATTAAAGAAATACCGAAGTTCAAACCGTGGTAATTGTAGCAGGAGAAATATATATTAGAACGTGGGTGAGATATGCTCACTTCCCAGAGATAATTTAGAAGACGCCCCTCTCCTAAAATTACCGGCAGCACACTCATCACCTTTTAAGGAAACATGTCAGGAAATTCGACTGAGTGCGTCCCTGGCAAAAGTGAGATGGTTCTGTGGTTGGCAAAAGGACATAACATTGACAAATGTATGCATCCTTCCCATGTGCACCGGGAAAATGTGTATATCAAATATATATATATATATATATATATATATATATGTTTCTCGTCAGAAGATCAATGATTCTCATTGGAATTATTTAACGGAAAATTCATCAGTGAGTGGTGTGGCCTATGTGAATTAAACCTTTAAACCTCATGCAACTTCGAGAAATATTTTATAGTTAAGCGATAATGAGTGTGGTAGTTCGAAACAACTGGAAGCCGATGGCAGAGATATCCGTGTGCCACGGGCCACCGTTATTTGAGTGGTTGCAGGACACTCAAAAACAGAAATGTACTCTTGTGAAGCGAGCAAATTCCACTCAAAGCAAAACAAAACTGGAGGTCGGCGAGGGGGGTGGGGGCAGACCCTATAATGACAGTTCCCTGTGGCTCGAGGCTTCAGGACCTTAACCTATTAATTGAGTGTTGCGTTGTTTACCCATAAAAAAAAACCCGCGTTCAAGCAGTCGCCAGAGGAAAAAGACTTCACTTACCCTTCGATTCTATTGACGGAATTCGCTTATCGGTACTCATGCTCGACGTTGCAGGCGAAGACAAAGTGCATGCAGTGACCCCTGTTTTGTGTGATGGTAAAGACAGCTGGAAAACAGTGGACTATAAAAGGCATGCATGGCAACAAAGAGTTCATGCATTTATTTCGCTCTGTTTATTTATTTGAGACATTCATACAAGATGGGTACCTTGTTACAAGTTTGATATAAGATATACTCAAAGGATGGCACTGTGAGCTGTACAAACTGATAATGAGAGAAGCACTAGTCTAGTCTAGAAACGGGAAGCACGGGTAGATGCAGGGCTTCCGCGCAAAGCAACTTGAAAAAGCTGGGTAGATGCAGTGTAAAAAAAGAGAGGGGGTTGGATGGTTGAAATCAAAGCTTTCGTGATGAAAGAATAACAATGAAAATTTTCTATCTCGTTAACTGTGTGTCAAAGTTTGTTATGATTCAGAAACACTCCTCGATTCGTTGGGCCAGTATCCACGAGTAGTTAACGTTAGAAGTTGAACGGTAAACAGAAATTAAAAAGCGAGTGCTTACATTATGTGATTCTTGTGTCGTCCTTGCTCACATTTTTTTTTTGTATTAGGCTTTCTGACAACAGCAGCAACTTTGCAATGCAAAGGATGAACGGAAATGAAGAGTGATGGATGTCGAGCGATGATACTACGAAGCGCTAAGGATATGCTGTAGAACGGGTATTCTATCGGTACCCATACTAGCCGAGATTTTGACACGATGCAGACATAAATAGCGGGGCATATACTATGTATATACAGTTGAGGGTACTGAAAAAATAAAGTATAAAAATAGCGGCACACGCACGGCTAGTGTGCGCCGAGGAAAAGCGAGATCACTTGGCAATATCTACAGAGATGTGCCACTTGCCATCATCAGTTATAGGCCAACCTGAAAGGCAACCGGTTAAAACCATCCACGGTCGCTGCTCTGTGACCTCCCAGGAGCCAGGCGTGCAGTTCACTGATTGGCGCGAAGTCTTATTTACATATTTTACTTCCGCGTTCAGTCAGCCTGGTGGGAGCCAAAACCACTTGACCACACCACGCGTATATTATTATACTGTAGAGAAAACACCAGCGGCGCGATTACACAAAACTTTGGGGAGCTGCACACCCAAGGGAATTCAAGAAAGCGCTGAAGCAATCGTGTATGGGGAAATAAAAAAGGATGAATAGCAGGTGACGCAACACGTGGAATTCAAGACACGATCAGAGGAGAGCCTGTGGCTTATACATGCATCAGAAATGGCTTGAAAATGGACGCGCGAACACTGCTGAGCTTGCTTTGTATGATGAAACGGGAAGCTTTAACAGGCATTTCGGCGTGGCGGGTTGCTTGTGCATCAAAAGAATGAACGTCGCTTGCGAGTGATTGTATGATTCCGGTGGACCCAGCCTATTAGTGCAACTAAAACATGAATCTTTTGTAATCACCTAAAGCTGCGTGCTTAAAATGAAAATCGACACAATGTCCAGTTGAAAAGATGGTAGGGGTAGGGGGAAGACAAAGTAGTAGCTAAATTCAAGAAAAAAAACATGCTGAAAGCCGGGCACCGTCTGTAAAAACTAGGCGAAGAGATAGATGCCTTTCACCTTAAATCACAAGAAAAGACCCTCAATTGTGCGCGCAAAAGAAAGCGAAATATTACGTCACATTTTATCGCGCGAGAGAAAATAACTTTTCTCCCGCGCAAAAATTAATTCATAGCACCGAATGAGAGGGTTTTTTTTTTGTACGCTTAATGCACCCATTCACTCGGAAATCTTGCTAAGACATCGGAAGTGGGCGCATAGCTCGCAGAATATGTATGATCCCTTTAATCTTTCGTTTTTTTCTGAAAAGTATGCCCTAAATGTGTAAACTTATTCTTTTTTTAGCTGACAGAATGATAAAGCAGTATAATGTATGCGAAATCGTCAAGGGCTTTGTCATTGCCGTGGTATAAATCTGACACTTCCGTTATTATGTGTTTAGAAATTAGTATAGGTTGAAGTTCAGAAGTTTCGAAAAAGAGAGACATAAAAGAATGGCTCTAAATAGTCTATGTAAGCAAACATATTATTTAGGCAGTGCCAACTTGACAATATGGTCATACGTTTAGAAAATAATTTCATGCCTGCTAGTAAAAATAAGAAATTATACTTCAATGAACAAAGTTCTCTATATTTCTACTTGCGTGATTGTATGACTATCGACTCCAAATTTATGGGCCTACCTGCTCAGCCAGAATAAGAAAATGTGTATGCTGTTATGTTCTTTTTATTACACTTCCACTCCGCTCCTTGACACGTTTTGAAGCTAATATTATATAAATAAATAAATAAATTCAACAGCACGGGCGTTTGATGGCACTCGAGTGCACAGGTAGGCTGCGAATTTTCAAGCGAGTTGTGCACAGCTGTATAAAGAACGCACTTTACACCAACAAAGAAGGTACGCTTTAGAAAGTATACACCAACAGAGAAGGTACGCTTTAGGAACTCCGACGTTACTTTGCGCTGATGGAAGTGGCTGACTTAAATTACTGTCTCTGAGCATCCCCCCAGAACGCATGCAGAGGAGGATAGAGCTAAACGTGGCGCCAAACTGCCCTTCAGCACGAGGTGCGTGGTCTGCGCCACATCCAATTACATCCAACATTAAACACGTTGAATCCGCTGAAAGAAGCACATCCTGCCTAGAGAACAGAAGAAACTTGTATCGCGTTCATTCAGGCTGAACAAACTCCCACGTTAGTTTGGGGCTGCTGCACATAGGCGCAGAGCTTGAGCCGTGAGCTAGTTCTACTTTATATACGTTGCCACCCGCAAAAACGGCGTGACGTTCTTTCGTCTCACAAAACACACATTAAAAAAATCCGCAGGACCAACGCGAGGCGTATACACTAACGACCCGTCGATGACGCATCGCGCGCGTACCTCAATTGACGCACTCTGCCGACAGTTACGAAGGTGCAGGCGCGCCTGTCGCTAACGTGCCCGCACCGTACCGCCATCAGCTCTGCGCGTGCTCAATCGTGTCGCGTGAAAGCACGAAAGTAAGCGCGATATGGAGAACGAACTTTCCGCAATCGAGCATGAGCGCACGCGTCGGTCGCGTGCGTCCGCTGTATGACGCGCCAGTCGCCGACTGAGCGAAGAAGGCGGCTCCTGCTTCTCGGACGCTGTGGAGAAGTCCGAGAATATGAGATGCTAGGAAGTAATCAAAAAACACTCTTGATCATGACTCGTAAAGTCAGCAGCTGCTGCCGTCCGACGACGTGTTAAGTGCGCACGCGACCGCTGCTGTACCGTATAAGTAAATCTAAGTAGGTCACATCGAGGCCTTTTGCTTGGGCATTTGCATTAATCTCATGAGTGTTTTCCTTTGTCGAGTGGACATCACTTTTTCTGCTTCATAATTCCTCTTCTGTTTTCTTTATTGTTCTGTAAAATAGACGCAGTCTATGAGCCTACAAATCGGCTCATGCACGCCGCCTCTCCATTTTCTTTAAAAAGGGCAAGTTTACGTGCAGCCGTACTCCGAAAACTCGCCCTGCGATTGGGGATAGCAGTTGGGTAGAGTGCGCACTTAACTGCAAGCAAAAACGATTCGGTCAGAAGAGCATCCATAGTGCAGCCAGTGAACAACCCTGGGCCTCTTTACACACTAACTTGGTGGCTGAGTGTACCGTGCTCACAATTCCCATTTTACCTAGCTCAGCTGCGGCTAAAAATGAGATGGACACAACGTGGACGATGTTACATCAAGGACAACCGACATCGTTATCTCTGAAAGCTTCTCGTGAGTTCACTGGACTTATAAGCGACGACGCGTTTGTAAGCAATGAAGTTACACAATGAATTTACACAGCAGCATACTTATTCTTTGAATGATGGCAATTTCATGCAAATCGCTCGAATAGGGTGATGTGGATGGGTAAAATACATGACCGGCACTGGACGCGAGTGATTTTTTTTTCCAAAAAGTGTAATTCATGGCGAAGCCGGCTTGCTGCACAGAACTGCTGTAAATATGTGCCCAGCAATTGGTGCAGCGCCTCGTGTAAAGTTGACGGCAAGTGTCGGCTGAATAAAATCTCAAGAGAGACAGGAAAACGAGAGCAAAGCATTCACCAATTGTCCAACGAAGCAATGCACATTGCCGCTTTCACGTTTTGCTCAGCCGGTAGCGGCACGGGACATCGGAATCTATTCACCGTCCATTGCGTAAAGTTGAGCGCAGATAGCAGTTTACGCCCACATCAAAAGCGTCCGTGCAATGTGGAGGGTTCCGCGATGTCGCGCACTTCCACGGCGCGTTATCAATGCCTCGAGAAGCAGGTGAGTGAGGCCTAGACCGACGACGCGGCCGACGAGCGGCGCCGGTAACCTAGCGGGACGCGTCATAAGCGGCTCTTGTCGACGGTGACGGCCGTGCGGCTGTTGTCGTCCATTGAGGTGTGTAGGTTGTTCTCGCTGTTGGAGGCGCGCAGCGTGCTGAAGACGAGCCCAACGCGGTTGCGCACTCCCAGCAGCTCTCGGCGGATGTTGGTGTTGAGCCAGCCGTACATGATGGGGTTCGTGGTGGCGCTGCTCATGGCGATCATGTGGCAAACAGCAAAGATGAGATACAGCCTTTGCGGCGAGATGCCCTCCAGGTGAAAGTCGGTCAGCAGGTTCATGGCATTCCAAGGTAGCCAGGATATGGCGAACACGACAGAAACATTGAGCAGCACCATGGTGGCCCGCCGGTTGCGGCGTAGTTCGCGTTGCAGGCGCTCCGAGTAGCCGCGCTTGTCAGGCGCCGCGGTCGAGGCTCCCGGCGTCGAGGCGGCCGAGCAGCTCAAGTGCGACTTGATGCGGAAATGCGTGACCACGAGTGCCGTGGTGGGTATGACGAACTGTATGAGCAGGGTGACCAGGGTATAGAGCTGCTTGGCACCAGGCGAGGGCCACTGTTCGACGCACTTCTCGTACATATATCGGCGCGACAAGCCCACCTTCTGGAGGCTCTGCGACAGGCACATGGGCAGCGACAGCGCCACCGAGAAGATCCAGATGGCGGCCATGTACCAGGCTACCCGGCGGCGGCTGTCCTCTGGCCGCTGCACGTTCACGGCCACCACGGTCTGGTGGCGGTCGAACGCGATGGCCGACACGGTGGCCGCCGACACGAAGACGGTGGCACTCTGGAAGCAGGGCACCAGCTTGCAGAGTAGCTCACCCAGCGGCCAGGTCTTGCGCGTCAGCGAGTACACCGTGAAGGGCATGCAGAAGAGGCACAGCGCCGTGTCCGAGATGCTCAGGTTGACCACGAACAAGTTGCGGTTGGTGCGCACCTTGGCGTGCGACAGGATCACGCCGGACACCAACAGGTTGCAAAAGACGCCCGAAGTGATGAGAAACACGTACGCAGCCACGATGCCGGCCTCGGTGGAACCCGAAAAGACGCGGTCGCTGCGGTAGTGCTGCTGCAGGATGTCCAGCGCCCGGCCGAGGCTGAAGTTGAAGGCGCCCGAGTACAGCGTCAGGTTCAGATCGGCCATGCTGCTCAGGTTCATGGCGCCAACCTGCGAAGGCGGAATCTCGTTAGCTTGCTTCAGCAAATGTCATTCACACTTTCATTACCTCAGGTAATCACCTTACGAACATAAGCTATAAAAAACGAATACCCTCTAGGCATAGGCGTACGTACTTGAACGGGGCAAATAGGGGAGCTTGGCAAATTTCTTTTTATGCTCATCCCCGGAAGAGAATAAACCCGGTGACGATTGACGAGACATGGTTTACGCTGATGGTGTCAAGTGTTAGAAAAAAGGGCTAATTGCTATAAACTGTAGTTTAGCATCACCAGTGCATCTTAGTTGTAAAAACAATTTACTGACATGGTGTAGGAACACTGGCACCCATATGTTGAAAGACTAGAAAATATTTCAAAATTCAGTTGCTAGGAGTGTTCGAATACTGACGAGGTGCTTTCCTTAAAATATATCCCTGCAGTTTGAAAGTTTTCTTTAGTGATTACCCTTCGTCTCTGTGTTTCAACCAATTTTTGTTGTGCTTCAACACAGAAACATGCGCAGAAAACGCATAATAGGAGCTACTAGACCTAATAGTATCTTATACGATTTCTTAAATACACTCCAGGAAGGAAAAAATATTTGTGTTCTTTTAGTAAATTACCCTTTAACAATACCAAAAGCACCTCTCTTGCCACAAGAAGCAGTTTGGTAAGTAAGACTGGGCGCAAAAAAGAAAAGCGACGCCACCGTGATGTTCTGGCACTGCCTTGCCATGACGTCATAGATAATAATTACATCTGTTAGGGTGTAAACGCAATTGTTAATGAGAAACAATTAAGGGCGTTGTGTTCTAAATGAACAAAGGCTTAACACAGGAAGTTTCAGCAATCTGCATTCACCGAATGTATATAGACGAAATACGCAAAGCGTGTTTTCAATTCATAACGTCGCGCTGATGTTCACGAGCTGTAGTTCATAAATTATGTTTCGGCATTCTAGTTTCCTTCTTAATATTCATATTTGAGGGCGAAAATAAAGACAAAAGAGTATTCAGAGAATAGTTTATCAGTGTAAACTGCGTCAGTTTCACATGACCTCACAAAACGGCTCTCCTTTTTCGTTTCTTGCTTTATAGATGCGTGACTGAATCCCGCGAACGTATGTACATCATATGTACTATCAGCGTCAAATGAAACTCGAACAGCGGCAAGCCTTCGCGATGCTATAGAGCGCGCCTTCAAGTTATCACAACTGACAGGCGCGCGCATTAGCGCAGAGCTGCCGAACAGTACGCGCGTGCCTATCAACGGTGACAACTGGACGGCGCGCACTACACTGTCACGAATGCTTGCCGCTGTTCGAGTTTCCTTTGACGCTGGTAGCACTGAATACGAAGGGTCAACCCCCCCCCCCCCCCAAAAAAAAACCTATTTTGTTTGGTTCATTTATTTCTTGGTTGTTTATTCTTGACCTAGGCGCTCGGTGTACGCACGCGTCGATCAGCTGAAAATGAGCATATAACTGCTATAATGTAAAACGACAGCCAGAATAAATAGTCAAACCGCAATGCAGTCGATCGCAATGCGCTGTCTTTCCATGTTAGGTGGGGCACCATGTGACCATCCTCCACTATAAAAAAGTCACAGCTTTGCCACAAAGGCGAAGAAATTAACGCGATAACAACAAATTGGGAGGTCGCGCGCAGAATGGCAAGCAGATCTAAACGTGCCCCGCGTTCCTCACGCACAAATGGCGTACGGAACGTACTCACAGGTACAGATGAACGCGAATAATCTTCTCCGCTGTTACTTCGCGCTTTTTGAAAAGCGCGCCCTTTTCGCAAACGGAGGCTGTGCAACGATTGCAGTGACCTTTGTGCGCCCGGTAACTACAACAGAATCGTTCCGGTTCAAGCCCAACGCCAGCCAAGACGTATGATCCTCCCCACCGGGAGATAAGGGCGCGCGAGAGATCATCCACTCCCTTTCTCTCCGCGGGCCAAAGTACGCGTGAAAATGAGAACCACCACTCGCTCATTGCGCCATCTTGCTGGTGATGCCCCCCCCCCCCCCTGAGATGCCCGCCAACAGCGGTAAGTGGTAGATATGAATAGCTTTCTGTTCGAACGTTATAGGCGGTACCTCTCGGAGGCTTAGTAGTTAACGCCTCGCATTCACGACGCGGACGTCCCACGTTCAATTCCGCGCGCCGGAGCTTTTTTCCTGAAATGTTTTCGTCTTTCTTGCGTTTTCACATATATAGATACGTATACATATACGGTGCATGAAGTCTAGCCGAGAGTGTCCATATAATTGCTATCACAATAAACGAGAAAGCATTGAATCTCGGCCGCAAAGTATTAAGCAGGTGTGACACGCAACCACCACGTTTGCTTCGTGGTTATGTACGTTGCTCGACTGCGGACCTGAAGGTAGCGGGATCGAATTCCGTGGCCGAATTTTGATGGAGGCGAAGCGCCAGAGGCACATGAACCTATATTTAGGGGCACGTTAAGAAAAATCATTTGGTGAAAAAAATTGGCTAAGGCGCTCTTATATTCACATGATATATCGTTGTTTTAAGACGTAAAGCTTAATTATTTAATTAGGTGTGACACTTACAATGGTAACTCATCAGAGGGGCCGCTGTGTATCAGATACTTTTCGCTTGCGGTTGGTCGTACACGTCTCGTGCTTTATTAGGCACGGGTGTTAACATCGCAATCTGCTCCCAACTAATATAAGAGGCATCATACCCGTGCATTGCAAGATTTGCGAATGCCGACGAGATTTCGTCAGTGTGTTGATGGTGGGGAGAGAGCATAGAAGACCGGGACGAAAGATTATCGAAGCTTTCCATATTAATTTGAACCTTCAGTTCTACTCGCTGCCGATGAACTCCAATATTTTACTAGCATGTGACAGCGCCTTCCAAACTCCTTGTTAAAAGGGGGGGGGGGGGGGAGGGCGACTGCGCGTTCTAGGATGTCATTGCATAACATTTGATTTTTTACGCATGGGCGGCCGAGCTCTATAGAATACGTTTGTAATATTCTCAAGTTGTAAGGCCAGCCTTAGTGCTGTGCGTTTCTTTTCTTCGTGCTCACGTCATTAACTTGCTGGAACTTTCACACTCTCATCCTTTTCTAGCTCTCCCAGAAAACCACAGCATACGCTGAAGCATACGCCTGTGGTTTTCTGGGAGAGCTGGAAAATTATGAGGGTGTGAAGGTTCCAGCAAGTTAATGAGGTGAGCACAAAGCATGTGCTGTGGGAGTGCCCGGCACAGTACAGACACACTAACACCACGACCATTTCGCCGAAGCTTCATGAGGCTCTGCGGAGCCCCCGTTCTCGACGACCAAACCTGGGCGACACAGCACGCCCGTGAGGCGGCGTCGAGGCAAGCCCTTGACGTCCTCTCATGGGAGACCGAGGCCCGGCCACCTAAACCTGCTGGTTTCTTACAATAAAATTTATTCCTCCTCCTCACACAAAACCACGCAAGTCATTTTAAAGAATTACATTATACGCGGTTTTCCTACCGATTTTGCCAGATAATGTACATATCTGAGTGTATTTTTTACTGCCGTTTTAGGATGGCTTAAACATTTAAATGGTTATGCAAACCATATATGATCGCCTTTATTGTTTCAGCGCATAACGTTAACTGATCGACAAAATGTGGGATGATATCACCTCCTTTGTAGCCGTTCTCGCGTAATGGCGCCTGCGAGATGTAGTCAGCGTAGTCAGCTTTGTCGCCAGAAGCGAGAGCTGACGCTGCGCTCATGCGCTAGCGCCAGTGGCGCCATCTGGTGGAAGCAAGGTTACGTCAGGGCATGAACATTGAAGCTCATCCCCTGTTTTCTTTTTCTTTTTTTGCGGGAGTTTGGGGGTGATGGCAAGTCAGTGACATATATATATATATATATATATATATATATATATATATATATATATATATATATATATATATATATATATATATATATATATGTCGCGGAGATATCCAAATTACCCTACGAAGTGTCATCATCGGGGACTCAATCATGCGGTACGTCCACACTCACTTCAGCCCGAACGACTCATCGACGCCGTGCTTCATCTCATATGGTGGCGCTATGTTTTCGGACATTCCGGCGCTACTTGAGTACCTGCCTTACCGGGTGGACACGCTGTTTCTGCATGTGGGCACCACGGACATCCTGAAGACGAGCTCTTCAAGATCACTGGACTCGTTGAGGGAGGCCTTGAAGCGAATGAGGCAGATGCGCCCGAACATCAAGACACTGCATCTTAGTCTGCCACTACCTCGCGCACCCAATCGCCGACGGCGGGACTCGAACTGGCGATCAATGAATCGGTTTAATATGAAGGTGCCGCGATTCAGCAGAGAGGCCCGCCGTCTCTGCCACTACGGGTTGTTGGGAGCAGGCGTCTATTACGTCAAACATGGTTTCTCAACACTCCCGCTGCGCCGCTTCCTGGCTGCTGACGGCTTACATGCAAGCTTCGAGGGAGTTGCGCTGCTGGCACAGCACACGAGGGTGCAGCTGCGATGGACGTCGGCGGCATGGAGATCGGCGGCAATCGCTTGCACGGACAACTCCAGTGCCAAGCCCCCTTAACGACAAGGAGCCGAGCGACACACAGAGCCATCCAGGGCACCAGCAGTGACGATGTCGCCACTACCACCAGCGAGGCCATCAAGCCAGCGGTTCCCGCCAGTGAGTCAGAGATCGGCGGCAACGGCTTGCACGGCAAACTCCAGTGCCAAACCCACTCAACAACAGGGAGCCGAGGGACACAAGGAGCCATCGAGGGTCCCAGCAGTGATGACGTCGCCACTCCCACCAGCGAGGCCTTACAACACCAGGCGGACAAATGCGGCGAAGACCAAGGCGGCGGCTTCCAAATGACACGGGGAAACAAAAGGTACGGGCAGTCTTAAACACGCATGGTCTCACTCATTTCTATCGATTAGGAAAATCATTGAAAAGCGGGTGCAATACGAAAAACACGCGGAACAACTAACCA